TAAAAGAAGTCAAGACGGTTGGGATGCACATGAAAAAGGGAGAGGGCTTGGATAGTGCAGTTGTGGATGCCATCTTGACTTTTTTGACCCCCTGTGGATGCCTTCTCCTTACACTTTAATTCTTTGTCTGGTCTCATAGCTAGAAGGAGGTGTGCAACCTCAGTCTGTCCATATCCGTCAGTTCAATGAGAAATGATTTTATTTTTTGCCTGAGGCATGGACGGATTGGATGGGAAGGGAAGTAATAAAGAATTGAGGGACATTAACAGTAAGATCAGGGGGGGAAATAGCTCGCTGCAAACTTTAGAAAAGCTTAGAGGCCGAGCGTTTCTCTAGCCCCTCTGAGTCCAGGAAAGGTCTCTTAAGAGGAAGTTACACTCCCTTTTTTCCTCCTAAGATTAGCTTTAAGCTTGACTGGGAAGTCAGAAAAACATCTCAGAGAAACACCATGTCTAAGCATTTACACATCTTTATCAAAGATGCCACGTGGGCATTCAGGAATTATGTTCAGCTCAAAGGAGACTTGACTTATAGTTGACTGAGATTGATGGGACCTGGTTTGTATTTGGATGGAAAACCTCCAGATATCCAAGGGATGTTGCAGAAATGTCCCAGAGGTTGGCCCTGCCAGCTACTTGCATGGATGTCTCATGTGGTCACTAGGAGCCAAGCTTAACATGGAGATGATTTTACTAAATAAGACAGCAACAAAACCCTTTTTTGCTAGGTATTAGTAATATGATGGACAGGTGTTAAGAGAAGAGGAAGTTGACTTTCACCAGTGTTATACTGGTATAGGCTTTCACAGCCAGTATCTGTTGGGCAATGTTGGTCTAGACAACAGATTCTTGATGCCTGGCTATAAAGACAGGAGCCAAGTCAGCCCCTGCTCAGTTGCCTTGGTCAACATAGCAGATCACCCTGCTTCTGAAGATGCCAACCACAGTTGCTGGTGAAACATCAGGAAATGTGTTGTCTAGACCACGGTCACTAAACCCTGAAGCTCAACACTTCACCAACATTGTTTCCCATTGCTTCAGTCTGTAAAGCCTGAAGGTGATACCACAGATGATGTCTCCACAATCTGAATAGATCCTTCATCCTCTCATTTCAGCAGATGACTTCACTATTAAAGACACATCATGGAGATGCTTTTCTGGTCCAGGCACTCAGGGTCCTGGTCTTTCAGAACTGCACCCTTCTTGTGGATTTCAAGAAAACCCTGTCTGACCATGTGCTCTGGTTTGGTTAAGGTGCCATTATAGGATCCCAACTGGTTAAAAAGCAGCAAGCGATTGTGTTGATAGAGGATATATTTATCTAGATATTTCATTTGTGTTCAAAAAGTCAGAAAAATTAGTTTTGATCTTGTGATCCAGCTGTAGTCATATACAGCTAGTTTAAGAACGAATTCCGTTCCCAAGGTTTGTCCTTAAGTCAAATTTATGTGTAAGCTGGAACAGTATTATTGTATAATACTGTATAAGTAGTATTGTGTAAT